TGCATGTGTGTGGCCTTCACTACCACCTTCAGGGGGGTGGCCCGCACCTGGTACAGGAACCTGGCCCCCGGGTCAATAAGAAGCTGGACCCAGTTTGTGCAGGTCTTCACCGCGCACTTCGTTACCAGCAAGCGGTGCCCCAGAACCGAGGAGAGCATCTTTAGAGTAGTCCAGAGAGAAGGAGAGTCCATCCGGGGCTACATAAAGCGGTTCAACGACGCATGCTTACAGATACCACGACTGGACCCCGCGGTGCAGCTCGCGGCAGCCAAGAGAGGATGACACACAGGGAGTTCATGTGGCACATGGTAGTTAACCAGCCCGCAACCGTGGCTGAATTCCTCAAGCTCACGAACAAATTCATGAGAACAGAGGAGGAGTTTAACCAAAGGACTGAAAGCGGGATCGAGAAAAGGAAGAGGGAAGGCGAGCCCTCCAACCTAGATGACAGAAGAAGGAAAGACCCAGCTCGGGAGACGAAGCCAAGCCAGCCGTTCTGAGCTCCCTTAGCAGCTCGGAGAGACTACACACCCTTAAACGCGAAGTGGGCTGAGATCTTAATGACGATCAAAGACGCCCCATATGTGTAGTGGCCATCTCATCTGAAGGGAAACCCGAACAAGAGGAATAAAAACTTGTACTGCAGTTTCCATAGGGATCACGGTCATAGCACCGGACATTGTAATAATCTCCGCGACGAGATAGAGGAACTTATCCATCGCAGATATTTATGAAATTTTGTACAGCACAATAATAATAATAATAGTAATAAGCCAGGTCAGTAGGGAGAGCACAGCAAAGATGCTCCCAAGTCTTGTAGCCGGCTAGCGGAACCACAGAAGCAGCCCCCGGAGGAAAGATCAATTCGGGGAACAATCCACGTGATCGTTGGGGGATCGGTCGTGGCAGGGTGCACCTCGGCAGCAGCTCGCGCGTCAACCCGGGGAGCCGCTAGAGAAGAACAAAATCCCCCGAAGCGGCCTAGGATGGAAGACCCTATATTCTTCACCGAAGATGATGCACACAGAGTCCACTACCTCAACGACTTCGAAGTCCGACGGGTGCTCATTGACTCTGGCAGTTCGGCAGACATCCTCTTTAAAGCAGCCTTCGACAAGCTCTAGTTCTGAGAGAGTGACTTGAAGCCCGCGAACACCCCACTGGTCGGCTTCAGCGGAGAAGAGGTCAGACCCCTAGGAAAGGTCGCAGTACTTGTGGAAGTCAGCA